CACACACACACACACACACACACACACACACACTTTCAAAGTTGAAAATTTCAATCCTGTCTTAGAATCAATAGGGCCAACAAAACCAAGAATTCACAGTTGAAGACCTGCAGATAATAAACTAATCTGAAAGATACTTTTTTGAAGTGTGTTTTCTTAAAAAGCAAGGAATAAAAGTCATAAGCAAAGAACAAGTCATTATGACAAAATAATAGGTTGATCTGAGAAAAATAGGAATTCTTAAAATGAAAATACAGTCAGTGAAGTTGAAAACTCAGTGGATGGGTTAAACAATAGATTAGACATGGCTTACGACAGAATTATAAATGGGAACTAGAGCTGAAGAAACCACCCAGGTGGCAGCACAGAGATAAAGAGATGTTTTCTTGGGGCAGGAAGTATGAAAGATGGGTCTGGGGTGTCTTGTAGCACCAGAAAGTAGGAAACAGGGGCACATCAAAGGGACACAGGAACCAAAAGAAAGAGTTTTCAATGGCCAACTTTGGAAAATTTTGAGCAACACAGTAAAGTAGTATTGGATTATAATCCAAAGTATAAAATAAATATCATAACTTTATACTTATGAGTAAATTATTGAATAAGTGAATGTGGGAAAAGAGACAAATCTCCCCTGCAGGAGAATTCGCAACAATCGATGTAGGTTCTCCTCCCTCAAGGAGATGGGGCACAACTCCCTCTTTCATGAGTGTGGTATGTACACAGCAACTTCTTTCAAAGGATGGAAAGGGGGAAAATGGATAACTTTACAGTGGGGAAATATGACCAGCATTACCTCAGCCAAGGGACCAAGGTCAACATCAACATGGATAAGTCGTGCTGATAGTACATACCCTTGGCATGATGCGATAAGAATGGCACCTTACCTCTTTGGTTTTCCTCCCCAAGTCTTGTAATCCCAGTCTTAATCGTGGGAAAAACATCAAACACATCTCAATTGAGGGATAGTCTACAAAATACCTGGTCAATACTCTTCACAGTTGCCAAGGTCATTAAAAGCAAGGAAAGTCTGAGCAACTGTCACACAGCCTCTGGGGAGGCCTAAAAGGAGGGAACTAGGACCGGCAAAGCATTAAGAAGAAGCTGAACTGTAGGGCTGGCCGAGTGGCGCGATGGTTAAGAACTGGCTTGGGACGCCAGAGGGCCCCGGTTCGGATCCCACATATGAGGGCCAGTGACACTGCCCTCCACAGCTAAGATGCTGAACAACAGCTCAACCTGGAGTTGGGCTGCTGTGAGTTGCCGGCGACGGCGACGGCGACGGCGACGGCGAAGGCTGCAGCCCCTGTGGCAGTGGGTTGCCATGGGCTACCGTGTGTGGCCAGCAGCCAGCGTGAGCGGCCAGCAGCCGCTGTGAGCGGCCGTCCAGAAGCCGGCGACTGATCTGCCTCACCCGGGAAGAGCGCAATGATGGTGCCAACTTGGGCCAGTGAAGCAACGTCCTCCACAACTAGACTGAAGAACAAAAGGACAGCAACTTCTCTGTCCCCTTTCCCCCAATTCCCCAGCGCTGTTCCCATCCCCCCAATACCCCAATAAAAATCTTTTAAAACAAAAGAAGCTGAACTGTATCTGCAATGTCATATTTAAAAAAACAAAAATCTGAAACAAATGGTAAAATGTTAATATGTGTTAATTCTTCATGGGGGAGTGTGTGGTGGTTTTCATGTTATGCTCTGTATATTTCTGTGTGCTTGAAATAGATACTAATATACAAAAATAAAATAATTTTTTTCCAAAAAATGAAGTATTAATAGAAAAGTGAAATTGAGTGTATAACAAAAAAAAATAATCAGAATCAAAATAGAATAGAAAAAAAACATGGCAAGAGAAACCAAATGTTGGTAAATCGAGGCGTGGTATAAGCACATTATTTAAAAGGCGAAAGATTTATGCGATCTGAAGAGAAACCAGAGTATAAGCACACTATTTAAATGGAGGGAAGTAACTACCAGAAGAAACAGCGGTAAGACTTCAGGTCAGGTGCTTTTCAGGGGCAGGGCTGGAGAGGGTGGGGGTGGCAATAATTGTGCCCGAGCCAGGGCTCACCTTTGAAGAAGACGTAGTTCAAGAGCACCATGAGCGTGTCTTCGGTGAAATCCTGGAGGCAATCCACCACTCGCCCGTACGTTTGCTTTCTCACGTAGTCATTAATCTGCCTCCTAGTTGTAGCAGAGTCTGAGAAGTTAGCAGAAAAAGCAAAGGCCCCATACAGCTCCCTGATGTTGTCCAAAAAGTGCTGCCGGGGCTTCAGCTGCTTGTCCAGGAACAAGGAGCTGCCTACTTTCAGTTCAAGTTTGGGGCTGGGCAGGTCAAGGGTGTGGATGAGGCTCTGAAAGCCCTGGTGGATGTCGGCACGTGGGGTCTCCGTGAGGTTGAAGCCAAGGCCCTCTAGGATCTGAGTCGAGGTGTTAGCTTGGGCCCCAAGGGAGAGCAGGGCCAGGGTGGCAGAAATGCTCACAGGGGAGAAGAGGATGTTTCCTGGGGTTCCTTCGGCCAGCTGCCTATACAAACGCAAAGCGAAGTTGGTAATGGTGGGTGTGACCTTATGGTAGGCGGGGGCTGGCGCTGAGAGCTGAGCACTGGACGCTTGAGTCTTGGGCACCCCCAGACTCTTATCTCCATGGGCAGGAAAGGGCTGACAGTGGACGGAGACCAGGATCCCTGCTCCCAGCAGCCACAGCCATGCTGGCACCATCCTCTGAAAACAAGACGTCAAACACATCACTCTTCTGCATAAATAACTTCACAGCGCCCCATCGCGTACACAACAAACCTCACATCCAGACTGTATCCCACGGAAGGGACACGGGGGTCACGCAGGGATGAGGTGGGGGTGAGCACGCGGGGCTCCAGGCACTCCCCCAAGGCTTCAGTCCAAGAAGCAGCCCTTTATCTGCTTTATCTATAGATACATCTATAAGATTTTGTTGAGTAAAGGACTCTGGGCTATAAAATAAAAACTTGTCAATTCTCCCTGCCTCCCTCCCGGAACCCTCCCTGGGTCCTTCCTCCCTATCTTCTCTCCTCCCTCCTTTCTGCCTTCCTCCTGTCCCTTTTTCTTTCTTCTTTCTAGTCATTGTTTTGATCATTCACTAACTTTCAGGGATTGGGGTGGTGCTCAATACTCTGGAGCAATTGTTCAGGACACTGTGACAATGAGTGACGCTGGGCCGCCCTTGCACCTAAGTGTGGCCATTAACTCTAATCTTGGCAACTGGAGGGAGCTGACGAAGTGAGCAGCTGCTGGGACAGGCCCTCAGAGAGAGGGGAGCCCGCTCATCTCTGGCCTCCCATTAGCTGGAGTGTGGGTGTGGGGACCAGCCATGGGGACTCTGAGGATGAGGGTAGCCCGTGAAGGGTGGCAAAGCCAGAGGATGAATGGAGCCTCAGGGGAGAAATGAGAGAGAGATCAACTCAGCCTCCATCAAGCCTCTTATCTCAAAGACATGTTGTCACCCGAAGTGGCTGAAAACTCTATCTTAATTGGTGTGGAGGTTTGGGAAAGATTTCTGTCATGGATTGAATTGTGTCCCCTCCAAATTCGTATGCTGAAGTCCTAACCCCTACTATCTCAGAGTGTGACCTTGTTTGAAAATAGGGCCATCACAGGTGTAATTAGTTAAGATGAGGTCATTATAGAGTAGGGTGGGCCCTAATCCAATATGACCGGTGTCCTTATAAAAAACAGGAAATCTGGACACAGACCCACACTCAGGGAGAATGCCATGCGAGAGGAAGGCAGAGACCTACAAGCCAAGGAGCACCGAAGACCGCCAGCAGCACCAGGAGCTGGGAGAGGCCCGGAGCAGGTGCTCCCTCCAGCCTCAGAAGGAACCCGCCCTGCCGACGCCTTGATCTTGGACTTCCAGCCTCCAGAGCTGTGAGACAATACATTTCTGTTATTTAAGCCACCCCGTCTGTGGTACTTTGTTGTGACAGCCCCGGAAAGCTAATACACTATATCTCTTGGGCTTTAAGTTATAGAAGGAACCAGAAGAGCCTGTGGTCCACCTCTAAGGGGTCCAAGTGATGTGGGTGCAGGAGACCCCTTGCTCCAGGGCCAGGAATGAGCTCCAGCTTGAGGTGAAACTGTTAACGTTTGACTCTGTTCTCTGTTCCTGTCTGGTGCCCCCCTTTCCTTTTTGGGGCCTCCACAAACACATCCCCACATGCTCACAGAGCACACACCTCCACATTACCACTCAGACCCCCCACCTGGATGTCCCCAGTACGAAGAGTACTGTCCCTCTGCTCCTTTCAACACTGACCCTTCCTTCCACTGGCCCATTCCACAGCGGCTGCCCCCTGCCGACCACCCCATCCTCGGTGTTTGTCCTGATAACACTTGTGTCTTAATTAGCACCTTGAATACCTGTTGCCCAAACCAGTGGCCTGGATCAAGTACAAACGCTGTGGTAGTGTGGGAGAGATCCTATGTTTCAGGTGGTTCACGAGTGCCTGGCGCCCTAAATACCCTGCCAAACCCCAAAGGCCAGCTATCAGGAGGGATGAATGTAACCTCATTATCGGTTATGTTGAAACTCATTTGCTGGTCAAAGTACAGCGGGCCGTGTCCCAAGGCCATTGCCTCCCCCACCACAGCTTGCTGTGGGCTCACTTAATGCAGATTCCATTCACACTGAAAATTCTTTTGGGGGGGATTTGAAAGAAGTAGAACAATTTAACAATTGATCTGCCCCTGGGGAAAATGAGAAATATAACTATGATGAAACTAGTTCTAGTTTATTCTTTTTATCCCATTCTCTACCATGCTGCACCCCAAGTATTCCCAGGCTTCCGGAAGATTCTATTTCCCAAAGAGGACTGGGTTGTAAGCAGGGGGCCTGGGTTTGAAGCAAGGCTCTGCAGTAACTCCCTGTGATGCTGTGGAAAGGGACCTCCCTGAACTGCGGGGGTGTCCCCACCTGTAAAATGCAAATGGTACCTTCCTGGGGGTGGGGTCGCTTAAGGATTACAAGACATACAATGTATAAAGCCCCTGGTACAGGGAAAGTATGCAGTGTTATTTTCACCTCTTTCTACTGGTGTGATTATACCCAATTTCTATCTTTCTTCCTTTTCCAGAACGACCCCAGAGAATATTAAGAACTCCCATAATTAATTATAATATTCCCATTTATTGTTTATTTTGTGATGAGGATATTAGATACACTGTATCACTGGTTCCCAACCAGAGAAGTTCTAAAATGCAGAGGGAGGGATGAAAGTGAAGAGGGCGATGGTACTTTGGATCACCTCAAAGGTTGGAGAAAGGGGTGCTACTGGAGTTTAGTGGAAGAGGGAAAGCTCTAGAAATGCCAGAACAGTCCCATGTGAGGAAGGCTGGTCCTGCCGAAATGCCAGCAGTGCCTTTGTTGAGAGATACTTGTTTGGTGTCCTTTAATTGAATCCTTATTAGAACATTAAGACATGGGTATTTTTATCCCTGTTGTACCTATAGGGAAACGGAGACTCAGGGTCAAGACGAACACTGTTAAGAGGCAGGAGCGTGGTCAAAGTCCAGACGAGGGCTCTGAAGCATGACCCTTTTCATAGAACAGAGTTTCTAGTAACTTTGCTATAACAACGTTGTTATTTTGCTTCAGGATTTTTTGTCTAACTGCCAGAAATACTGGGAGTTTCTCTCTCAAAATTTTTTGAAGACCAAGTTTTCATGAAGTGCCTACTTCAAGCCTTAGAAGTAATACGTCATGATATTTTTCCTTTAGGGGACTTAGTTCTCCCATCCCCACTGTCAGAGAAAGAGAAGGAGAGGGGGGGGGGTGAGAAAATGAGAGGGAATGAGAGAGAGAGAGAGAGAGAGAGAATACACTCTCAGCAAGGTGTACTCTGGTACTCACAGCAAGGTGTCTGGGCTGAGGGCCCTGGGTCTTTAGCACTGCATCACATCCTACCCACAGGAAAATGGTGTTTAAAGATCACAGCAGCCTGGTCAATATTTGTCAGGTCAATTCCTGGAACCAGTGTGAAGACAGTGCGCAGCAAACAGGAAGGGACCTTTTTTCCGAAGGATCCGTCCCCCCTGCCTGTCCTACAAATGGGGAATTGTGATTCTGGACCCAGCTGGGTTTGAGGAGGGTCTGATATCAGTGATGAGGGCAGGGGGTCGTGATGCGGCGGCTGCTGACCCATGATGGGTGTCTTGTGTGTCCCAGGCACTGGTCTTTGAGGAAGACCCTCACAATCAGAGTGCGAGATGTTATAATAACTAAACTGACTGTGGTCACCATTGAACAATATGTGTAACTCAAATGTTCATGCTGCAGACCTTCAACGTATGCAGTGATGAATGTCCATTATTTATTAATAAAACAAACAAACAAAAAAGAATGTGACAGAGGCACAATCTCGCCTACTTTACAGATGGGAAACGGAGGCTCCATGACGTTAAATAACGTGCTTGTTATGTGGGTCAGGTGGGGCCACACTCAGGAGCTATGTCTGCCTCCCCAGCCAAAGCCCCGCCACCATACCACACCATTCAGTATTTTACTGATTCGTTAAATAAATATAGTCCATGCACAGAAAAAAAAAACTGGAAGGAAATTCAGAAAATAGAGCAAACTCTTCTCGCTTGCTATACTGAAAGCCCCATAAAGTGAGGTCATTGACTCTCGTTAGCCTATGTATCCCCCAAGATCTAGAACGAAGCCTGGAACTAAATGAATTCTTGTTTTTAAATGAATAAACCTGTAGGTGACGGAATTGAAGTGACTTTTATATTCTTCTTTGTAGGTTTTTGTGTTCTCCTAATTTCTCACAAAAAGCACGCATCTTTAAACAATAAAATAATGTTAAAAAGTAGAATTATTTAATCATATGTGTCAAGCAAAAGAAAAGCTTGTGCTGGTTGGCACAGTGGTTCCAATCAAGATGCACTTTTAAAACATAAAAGCTCCTAGGAGACTGAATCTTGTTCTCCAAGGGGTGGGGCTGGAGGTGCCTGTGGCTCTGGCCTGTCTCGTGTGGGAGGCACAAAAAAGCCCCAGGTGGAGAGAGAGGTACGAGGGCTCCTGGTGAGGTTCAATCAGTGTGTGCTGGAAAGGTGAAGGCCAAGGGCATTTGGGCCAGGCCCTGATGGAGTCTGCTACACCCACCAGTGGAGACCCTACTCCTGGGCTGAGAACCTCCTGGGTGTTTTATAAGAACACATTTGTGGTACGAGTACACAAGAGAACTGGTCTATGGCCAGAGTTCCTTTCTCATCTAAGAAGAATCCAGTTCACTCCTGGCTTGAGCATAAATTACCTGGCTCTTTACAGTAACTTTTCACTTGCTAGGGGAAGAAGAAACAACTCTGGGAGGCACGCATATTCAGTTCTTTGCCCTGCCTGGCTCCCCATAAGCTTCAAGAGGATAGAGTCCAGATTCTTCAGGAGGGCGAGAAGCCCCGTCATGTCCTGGTTTCTGAGCAGTCGGCCGTATGATGGCTCCTGCCCTGCTGCCGCATCCCATCACTCCCTCAGCCCCCAGTCTTCACCGCCTCCTCCATCCGCCTCATCTGAGTAGGGGAAAGGGCAGTGAGCAGTGGAGGGCATTGTGGTTGAGGGGGCAGTGAGTGGGAGGGCAGTGAATAGCAGAGGGAGGCGATTCCAGAAAAGAAGCACTTATGCTTGTTACACTGAACCTTCCGTCATCTTCCCTAAGGCAGGTACTACCTGAAACATGGCCAAAGAGCATCACAGCACCTACTGCCCTGAAACCACACTGCCCCTGTTTTCTGTTGGTTGGTTTGTTTAGATGCTCTTTGGAGGTTTTTTTCACCTGGCTTGATTAGAAAGTTAGCTGAATCTGCCTTTAGAGTAGAGTCACTTCTGCCCTGAGTGACGCTGTCGTGCAATTCTGTAATAATCATTCCTGATAGTGTGTGGTTGATGACTTGGCCTCTTGAAATCGTGGGTCAAACTAACGGCCAAAGTTGTTTACATCTACACCATTGTTATGTTTTTACAGGCACATGAAAATCGTATTAGAAACCCTCCGACCATAAGCCTCAACATCTGTGTGTCGCTTCCTGCCCCACGGGGGACATGCCCAGCTAACTACTTCCCACCACTGTGGTAAGAGAGGCTCGAGCCCATGTTTTGCCCTCACACCTCCTGGTGCTTCCTCGTGTGGCCCTGTGTGTGTGACATGCTCTCTCCTCCTGGGAGCTGTTAAGTGATGCAGTTCTCTCCAAGGCAGTTGTCTGTGCCTGTCATCTTACCAGACCTGATTAAAACACATCCGGGCACCTTCCAAAACCAATGCAAAGGAGAGGCATCTGAAGGGATGGAGAGAAGCGATCTCACCAACTTGACAGAATACGTTTTATGACGATCTCGTGCCTGCTTGCTAATGCAAGTCTGAGTGTGGGGGGCTGGAAAGCCACCTGAGGCTGGCTTTCATTGTAACGCGCCCCTAGGGAGTGAGACTGTGGGGAAGAAAGCTGACAGCCTTCACCCAGCCCTGACTACTGGGGGCTCCCAATAGCTACCAGAAGGAAGGAGTAGTTGTGAATGACAACAGTAGCTTTAGCCAATGCTTCATGCGTGCCATTTTCCTTTGTGTCATCTTTGAGTCATTTTCCTTTGTGGCACACTGTTTGTGTGCATGGAGCCGGGTCTTACCCAGTGTGCTCCTTACAGGAAAGATGACTGATGTCTGCACGGTAGTTTTTTCCCCAGAACAAGTAAATAAATGAATAAATAAATAAATAAATAAATTTAAAAATGATAATTGGCATACAGTAATTCTAGGTGTGCAACATAATGATTAGACATTTACAAAGTGACCGCCGCAATAAGCCTAGTATCCATTTGGCACCATACCTGGTTGTTACAATAGTATTGACTGTATCCCCTATGCTGTACATTGGATCCTTGTGGTTGATAATTTAATAACTGGCAGTTTGTACGTCTTAATCCCCTTCACCTTTTTTTCCAACCCCTCACCCCCTCTCATCTGGCAAAGGATAAAAATGATATGATCATATCAATAGAGACACTGTGATTTTTTTTCTGTTAATTTCTTATTTTTCAATTACAGATAACGTACAATATTATATGTTTCAGGTGTGCCACATAGTGATGAGATATTTATTATATATAACTTATAAAGTGATCACCTTGATAAATCTAGTACCCATCTGACACTACCCAACTTATTACAATATTGTTGACTACATTCCGCATGCTGTGCCTTACAATCCCATGATTAGTTTGTAACAACCAATTTGTACTTCTTTATCCCTTCCCCTTTTTCACCCATCCCCCCTACTCCCCTCCCATCTGGCAACTGTCAAACTGTTCTCTGTACCCAGGAGTTTGGTTATGTTTTGTTTGTTTGTTTTGTGCTTTAGATTCCACATGTAAAGGAAACCATATGGCATTTGTCTTTCTCTGTCTGACTTACTCCACTTGGCACAGTACCCTGTGGTCTATCCATGTTGTTGCAGATGGAAGATTTCATTCTTTTTTATGGCTGAGTAATAGTCCATTGTCTATATGTATGTACCACCTCTTCTTTATCCATTCATCGACTGATAGGCACCCAGGTTGCCTCCATGTCTTGGCTATTGTAAATAAAGCTACAATGAACATATGGATGCACATGTCCCTTTGAAGTAGCATTTTGGATTTCTTCAGATAAATACCCAGAAGAGGGATTACTGGGTTCTTCTTTGTCTCTTGTTATAGCCTTTATTTTAAAGTCTATTTTGTCTGGTATAACTATTGCTATTCCAGCTTTTTTTTTCATTTCCATTTTCATGAAATATCTTTTTCCATCCCTTTCAGCCTGTGTGTCTTTCAATCTGAAGTGAGTCTCTTGTAGACAGTATATGTAAGGGTCTTGTTTTCTTACGCATTCAGCCACTCTATATCTTTTGACTGAACTATTTAATCCATTTACATTGAAAATTTTGATAGATGTAGTTATTGCTATTTTATTATTTGTATTTTTATCTTTTCTTTTTTTCTTTTTCTTCTTAAAGAAGCCCCTTTAACATTCATTGTAATACTGGCTTGGATGTGATGAACTCCTTTAGCTTTTTCTTGTCTGGGAAGCTCTTTCTCTGTCCTTCGATTCTAAATGATAGCTTTGCTGGGTAGAGTAGTCTTGGTTGTGGGCCCTTACTTTTCATCACTTTTTGTTTGTTTGTTTGTTTTTTTGTGTTTTTTTTTTAACTGAGCCATCCTGCCACCTGTTGGCAGCTCAGTGGCTGCTCAGCTCGGGCCGGGACTTGAACCGCTGTTGCTCAGAGCTCAAACTCGAGTGAGCTCTTAACCAACTGAGCCACTCAGCCGGCCCCTACTTTTCATCATTTTGAATATTTCGTGCCAATCCCTTCTGGCCTGCAAAGTTTCTGTTGAGAAATCAACTGGCAGTCTTATGGGAGCTCCCGAGACACTGTGACGTTTATGGCATGCCTGAGGGCAGACCATCATGCACACAATGAAGTTTGGTACAGGCAGCACAATCAAAGATTCGGCATTGGAGCCCCAACATCTGAGCTTTGCTCCTGGTTCTCATTCTGCCCAGGGCATCCCTGTGGCCTGAGGTGACTGTTCTCATCCTTTGAGTCTCTGTTCTCCTATTCAGAAATAAGGTGGAAGTGTGGGGGGTTTCCTTGATCCTTCTCCAGCTCTCTAACAGCACTCCGTTCTCTTTTTTTTTCTTTCTGTGCAAAAGAGCTTCAAAAAGCCAATGTGAGGCCCCCAGCATATCTGAGGTGGTATGGGGTACCAGCCTGCCCTCCGGAAAGGAATCTCTGGATCTGATGGGAGGCTTGAGAAGACACCCTTGATAATGAAAGGTGAAGTGGAGGAGCAGAGCAACCCATCTGGCCGAGGGTGGGGAGAGGATGGCAGAGCAGCCTTTGCCTGGTACCCCTATGGCCCACTGTATCATGTGTGACTCTGAGGAATCAGAGTAAGAGAGACAGGCCATTGTCACTCCAAACCAGCAGGGAGGAGGCTGACCACCCCGAGGGCTGTGTGTGTATATGTGATAGTGCCAGAGCCCGGAAAGTGGCCAGCTTTGGCAAAGTCTGGGTGGAATACCAAGGCCTACACTCAGAAAGGTCTTTCCAACCTGGACGCTAAAGTTTCACCTTCCTGCTTGAGAAACTCAGCTGGTTTAATGGCACCTCCCACCAAACCCAGACTCCTTTCCTTGGCCAACAACATCCTACATGATTTGACCTTACGCCTCTCTGATCTTGGTTCTACCATTGCAGACACAAGGGCCTCTTTCTGCCTCTCCAATGTGACTGCTCATCCCTGACTCAGCCTTTGTGCTCACAGAAACACCCGCTCACCACCCCATTACCCTCTATCCAGTCATCCTAGTCAATGCTTTCACGGACTTTACCATAACCTGTAATAATCACACTTATTTACACTTGATCTTAGTCAAAAGGCCGAGAAGTGATAATAACCACATTTATTTGTAGGCTTGGTTTTATTGTTGTGGTGGTGATCTGTCACCTTATCTAGGTTCAATAAGCCAGGGACATTGTCTGATTTATTCCTAACATATATGAGGTACACAATACGTTTTTGTTGAATGAATGGATGAATTCATGCAGCCACTGAAATGTCACACAGTGACAACCTGGTTACTGTGAATTAGCCAATAAACTATTTTCAAATTATGATGCTGGAGGCATGTGGGAGCACTGCTGCTGGCCACATCCACATTTTAGGTTTATTAAATTTATTACTGTAATTCTTCAATAAAGGTGACTGGCCCATTTGTTACTGTTCCGAGGGGCTCTAAGCAATGAAAGTATGTCAAGCCAGACACATTCCCTGAAGCTAGTTACCTGGGAGATTTGTGGAAAAGAGCACTGACTGGGGGTTCACGGGTGTTGGTTTGTAACCCACATCTCTGCTGACGTTTGATGATTGAGACCCAACAGTGGCCTCTGGATGGAGACTACAGCTCTGCTGAGGTCAGGCGACCCTCGGAACAGGAGGGCGCACGTCCTAAAGTCACACCGGGAGCATCAGGCAACACGATTTGTTATTTCCTGCACATTGTCACGATGTCATCCTTCAACAGGCCTTTCCCCAACTAGAATTTAGTGGGGTTTTCAACTTTCCCTAGGAAGAGCACGGTCCCTGTGGCTTTGTTGAAAATGAGCAGCAGGAAGGGCCTATTGAAGCAGATGATGGAGTGAGCGGAGCCATCCTTTGACTTGGTTGTGAGCTTGGTGGCGGTAGCTGCGGTGGCCTCGGTCCCCTCTTCATTGACATCCAGCACAGCCTTGTGGGCAGCCTGCCGGGGGAGAAACAAACATCAGAACCCCCACAAAGACACTTTTAAAAAACTGAGTGTTGGTGTTTTGCCTGGGAATGGGGATGCCCTCCTCAAGAGGCTTCAAGACGACAGTATATGCCACATGCCTGGCATTTGCTTAATCAACGGCAGCTGTTGTTGCTGCTGGTCAGTTGGTCCTTAAGCATGGGGTTTGAGTAATTACAAACATAGACCAGAAAGACCTAGGTTTGAGTCCCTGTTCTGCCACTTATTTTTGCAAAATTTATTTAGATGCTGTGTGCTTCACTTTCCAAATCTATAAAAAGGATGATGATAATTGCATGTGTGCCACAAGATTATTCGGTGAATGGAAGGAAATCATATGAAGTCTGTATACCATAGGAATTGCTACAGTGGTTGCATTGGAGACATAGGTTATGTATTACTAAATATCGGATCCCTTCTTGGTCTTCTAGAGAAGAGATTCTTAGCCTGGGGTTCGTGCACTGCTAAGCTTCAGGGAGCCTGTGCACAATTATAGCCATTATTTTATATGTGAACATAAGCACGTAATGGGGAAAGGTCCATTATGCTCATGTGCCTGTGGGATCTCTGTACTCCTTCCCTGGACACCAGTGACAAAGGTGCCCTTCAGTGGCCCAGCTTCTGACCCTTATAATCTGTTCTAATCAAAATAAGTTTCAGGTCAAGGATCAGAAACCCATTTACAGACAGGGGCTAGACATGTAACCTCAATGAGATGAGGAGACCTTTTGTAAGAGCATGGAGCCAATGGGGAACCTGGAGGGTACCCTCTGGCCAAAAGGGGTGCTTATGGCTCAACTCTAGCCAATGGCTATGGTGTGGAGGTTTGGACTCACTGTTGCCATGTAGGAGTTGGGCTCCATGGTTTGTTTCAAGAAAATGAGAAGTCTTGGGCCAGCCGAGTGGCGCGATGGTTGAGAACTGGCTTGGGACACCAGAGGGCCCCGGTTTGGATCCCACATTTGAGGGCCAGTGACGCTGCCCTCTACAGCTAAGATGCTGAACAACAGCTCAACCTGGAGCTGGGCTGCTGTGAGTCGCCGGCGACGGCGTAGGCTGCAGCCCCTGTGGCAGTGGGTTGCCATGGGCTACCGTATGTAGCCAGCAGCCAGTGTGAGCCGCCAGCAGCCGCAGTGAGCGGCCATCCAGAAGCTGGCGACTGATCTGCCTCGCCCGGGAAGAACACAATGATGGTGCCAACTTGGGCCAGTGAGGCAACGTCCTCCACAACTAGACTGAAGAACAAAAAATGACAGCAACTTGTCTGTTCCCCTTCCCCCAATTCCCCAGCACTGTTCCCATCCCCCCAATTCCCCAATAAAAATCTTAAAAAAAAAAAAAAGAAAATGAGAAGTCTAGATTTTTAGGTCCAACATCCTACATTTTAGAAGTCAGCTCTCTCTTTTTCTTTCTTTCTTTCTGTCTGTCTCTCTGTCTCTTTCTTTCTTTCTTTCTTTCTTTCTTTCTTTCTTTCTTTCTTTCTTTCTTTCTTTCTTTCTTTCTTTCTTCTTTCTTTCTTTCCAGCACTGCAGGCCAAACAAAACACATCTGCAGCATGCTAATGATCAAGGCAGCCACATTATGATCTCATGTGAGGACCTAGACTCCAGGGAGTTGAGGCTGAATGCCAAGTGAGCACCTGCCCTCTGCAGCAGATGCTGGGCAGCAGTGCTGCCTGCCAAGGGGACCCCCAGTTCTCAAAGAACTGTAGTTGGACCTTAGGAACATTTGTTTGAAGAGGGATTAAGGGTGCCCATGTAGCAGAGATATGATGGCCATAAAGCCACAGGCCTGACGACCATGAGATTTCGCCCTATTGCTGCCACAGACAGGTCACTTTGCCTCCCAAGCCTCTGTTTACTTATCATTGAGATGAGAGTGTTCGGTCAGTCAGTCTCTACAGGCTATTCCAACACAGGCTTTCATGCAAATATTCCCATTGGCCAACTCACTTTGGAAACCTGCAGGAAACCTTTCTTTGTGATTCCAGAAAAATCGGCGTTTTTATCAAAGGCATCCCGGATGCCCATCTTTGGGAGGATGGTTTCCAGGTCATAGGAGGTAGAAATGGAAATTTTTGGAATGAACACCTCTATCCACCTGTGGAGAAAGGGAGAGGAAGAGGTGAGGTCACAGGCCCTGGGTCCCCATCTCTGCTTCTAGGTGGCATTTCAAAAGACTTCTTCTACCAGGCATTGCTGGTTGCTGCTAGAGGGGTCAACACATCCCAGACAACCCACACAGGTTGCTCTGGAAGTAAGCCCCCTAGGTGAGCAAGTCCAGCCCTGAAGATACATGAGATGAAAAATGGGCCCCCTCATGAAGTAGGAAATAGAGCGGAGAAGGGGCCCCACCCAGCAAGGGAGCCTATGGCAGAGACCAATGCGAGGCACTGGGCAGTAATGGACGCGTGTCTACTGCCCTTGGATCAGAGTGACCCCCACTAACCCTTTTGGAGACAAACCCTGCTAATCCCTAAGACCAACAAAGTCCAATAAAACTTTCTTCAAAGTTGGAATTATTCTATATCTGTGCTGTTCAATATGGTAGTCACTAACCACATGTGGTTATTGAGCAACTTATATGTGGCTGGTGCCCACTAGGAACTAAATGTTTAATTTTACTTAATTTCAATGAATTTAAATTTAAATAACTACATGTAGCTAGTGGCTACTATGTTGGACAGCACAGTCCTAGAGTTTGGTACAATGTTTTCTTCCTCTGCAATGGTTTCTCTGAGCCAAGTGTGAACAGCCCGTATTTATCAAGCATTTACTATGTGCTAGGCATTGTCTCAGGAACCATTTTAAATGGTAGTAAAGCTTAATGCCTGTACTTTGCCCAAGTCACATGCTTAGTAAGTCACAGAAATGAAAGCACAAAAGTGCTGGATGGACACTTCAATCCTCATTAATGGACTTCTTGCGACACCTAGCACAACGGACAGCTTTCTCTTTCCTGTTATTATCTCCTGTGCTGGCTTGGCCCTCTCCATTTTCCTCTGCTCTGCCTCTTTATAGACACCCTTGCCCCCACTGCCAGCCTCCGTGCGGGCTCATCCCCCTTTATCCAGCCCTGGTTACAGTCTGAAAAGAAAAGAAACCTCTGAAACATCCTGCAGTGTCCTTTGATCCCCAACTTTGCATCTTCCCCTAGTGCTGTTTCCTTTACCCAAAATGCCCTTCCCAAGCCTCTATGTCCTCTCCATATTTTCATGTTCTAGCCATGCTTTGGCTCAAATGCTCCTTGAAGCCTTCCCTGAATCCCAGCTGAAAGTGGTCTCTCTTTGCTCAGAAGCTCCTCAGCCCTCTCTGCCCGCCTTCTCCTGGGCACTGATCTTTGTCTTTCTTGAGTCACAGTTATCCCTGATCTTGTCTTTTCTCTCCTGTTAAACTATGAGCACCCAGGAGTGATGCTCACAATGCCAAGAACATATTGCTAAGAGATTATACATAAGACTTTGACACTCCTTTTTATCTAATGGTTAGCATCCTTTTGATACTCTTCATAATTACATAATTACAGAACTAATAATAATATTACTAACAGCTAACATTTATTGAACACTTACTATCTCCCTGGCATTCTTCTAAACACTTCATAAATAGTAACTTATTTTGTCTTTTCAACAACCTATGAATTCAGTAATATTATTATCTGATCCTCATTTTGTAGGTGAGCACCAATGTTCTTGTTTGTTGTTTGTTTTAATTATTTTTTATTGTGAAATACACATTTTTTAGAATTAGTTTCAGTTGTACAACACAGTGCAATAGTTACACTTTTTACCCCTCGAAGTGACAACCCCCCTCCCCCAATCTGCCGCCCCACT